GTGCAGCACTAGCACTATTATTTCTTTTACATTTATGACAACAGCTAATTTGCAACCTGGAGGCGAGTGAGCGTAGCGAACGAGCTAACCTGAAGGCAAGTGAGCGTAGCGAACGAGCTAACCTGAAGGAAAGTGAGCGCAGCGAACGAGCTCCAACATACAGGTGAGTGAGCGTAGCGAACGAACTTCAACCAGGACGTGATTGAGCCATGCAAACGAGATCAGATAGTAAAAATAAAAGTAAGCCTACCGTTATAGGATCGACCGGCAGACACAGAGGTAATTTAACCTTTTATTGATTGTCATACCGATCCGGAACAACAAAAAACAACATAAAATGAAGCTATGTATAATAGTTTGGCCAGCATATCTTAAAATATGCAAACCAACTGCTGTTCGTTATATAAGAAGGTTTCAACTGAATATTATAAGATCCCCGTGCGTAGAACGGGTACACAGCTAGTAACTAAATAATGATGATCCATCATGTAGACGTACTTAATTGCATTACAAATGTTTTCTTGGTATATAGATCATTATATAGGCCTATAAGAAATTATGGGTATACATAAAAAATCACAGGTATACAATAATTATACAAATTATATGTATTGTATGAGCATGTAGACAGTGTGTTACGTTAATATATCCACAATACTTTAGTAATGTTAGCAATATAGTTATTTCAGATTATATTAAGATGGCGAAAGGAAGGTGGAACGGTTAGTTATTCGAAACTCGCATGTGTAAGTTATTGGAGCAATATCAAACTTTGGGGTTACAAGAAAGTGTCATTAATTTGTATAATAGCAGCCAAGACCTTCGCCATTTAACCTATCTCGTCGTATAATTGCTAGAGGGAACCGTTTAACCTTAAACTTCTATTGCGTATAATTTAACTTTCAACCGTTCTATAAGATATAAAAGTTCCTAATACTAGCTCTATATCCGGTAGTTTTACGGTTATCAGTTTGTAAATGTTCTTCGACTATAACTACTTGCCGAAACTGTGGAATTATTATTAGCTTCGAAAATATTGGTTCATCGATGCATGTAGTTATAGTATTGCTGCCAGATCAATCCTGAGAAAAGTCAGTAGCTTTTTGATGGTTCGAAACTGGACCCAGCTGTTTCTGATCATTGGGCTTTAACAAATTATCCTGGCTCATGAAACAACCGATCTTAGTCAGTAAAAAGCTACACAGATCATCTCACTCCTTTCTACACTCATCCTTCACTCATCTTTGGGTTGAAATATGTACCTATGTAGCGTCCCCATCTCAATAAAAAATTGGTAATTTAAATAATGATGGCACTAATAATATCTATAATTATTAACATCAGACCTCAAAATATAGATTCATAATAAATTTCATATTATACGCGTTAAAACAAAGATTGTGATTCAAACCATGAGAGGGTAGCGTGATTTTGGAATATAATTCTACCCTTAAGGCCCTTAAGTTCGTAACCTCTGCCAAGCATTTCATAGATCTTTGATTTCTCATTCCTTAGTTTTCTTGGTTTCAATTCCAAATGAGTTATGCCAAGTTTTAGAAATTAGGGAGCAATAAAGGTGTAGTGAATATCAAAGATATAAAAATACCATCGGATCTCGTGGTATAGCATTCAAACAAATAATCTATCTCATAGTAATAGTGTACAATAAAACCAATCGATTGAAGAGGAAACATTTTTATCAAATTTCTCATATAGAGAATAAGCTATTATTAGCTACCGTAGGTCTAATGGCAAGATCTAGACCCGGGACAGGTTTTCGTGTTGATATCCTCAGAAACCAAAAAAACCGTCCGTTGTATATATGTGTGTTTGTCTGTTAGCACGACAACTCGAGTAAAAAACTCGATTAAATTTGGCACAAGCGTGTATACCTACCTTCGATCGATTTTGCAAACTAGCATGATCGAACTATCGGAAAAGCGTTTTCTAAAGGATTTCACTAGGTAAAAAGCAGTTTTTTTCGTTTTGGCCTTTTGGACATAACATTTTTATTTTCTTTCCTAACTATTTTGTTCAGCTAAAAACAATAATTTAACTATATACGTACACTGTTACAGAGAAAATTCCCCCAAAAAACTGTAAATATAAAATTCCCATGTTGCTCTTAAGGGGAATAAGTAAGTCCAGTAAATATGTCAAAAAAAATTGGGGTTGCTGTGCAAAAGGTCGGGTGGTTTTGATTTTTGGATATGTTGTTAGTGTTGGGCCCATAACAAAAAATCCAAGTTATCCTCCTCGAGGTACCACGGCGCGTCAATTGTTAACGAAATAGCAAAAATCTTACCATTCCTGTGGATTTTCCATCAATCTCGCGAACAGTTGGTTTTACTGATAGTATTAATTTATTAAATTAAAAGAGGATAAATTTGTGACAGTTTAAAACCAAAACCAAGTAAGTAGCGTAAATAACGGTCAAAATACAGACCTTCAAAATAAACAAATTTTCCAAATATGTATAAAAATGGTGTTTTTTCAATATTTTCACAATATAGTTGTTTGAAGCAAACGCCGTATGGATTTAGAGAGTATGCCAGTTTATTTGCTATTAATACAAATAAATGAAAGTAAGAATAAATATACACCCGCCACAGCAAACCTGCAGACTACGTGAATTTCTATTTGCTTGATTTGATTTTCACAAACTTATTTAAATTACATTAGGTTTAACTAGTACCTAGGTTTGCTGCTATAGGGAGAGTAATAAAGTATATTTTTGTATAAAATAATAATAATATGATAAGAAACAAATAAATTTACCCAATTTTATAAAAGCGTATCCATAAATTGAGAAACTGCAATAGTTTTTGCAGTGGCAGTATTTAATTATGTATTTTACAAAAAACTCTTAATATACAATCAAAAAACATTAAAGTCGAAACACTGGATAGTGTAAGCTCAGATTTCCATAAAGACTCGACATAAAGTTTTGCCAGGGTAATGTGTGGCCGATCATCCATCTTCACACCATTTCTTCCCGGCATACGCTAACAAAACTTGTTGAAAAATGATGCAGTGACTCCATACAAACTTGGCTTGTAAGAAATGGGTGTTCGAAAACTATGGAGACCCTAACTGTAAAAAAATGTGCTTTCATAGTGTTGAAGATTTGTAATATAGGCGCATTTCCTATTGTTGTATTCGGTGGATAGGTCAAACAGGACGCTATTGTGTGTGTTAAAGTGTAAATTGTCGCATTGCACTAACCACTTATTCAATTTGTGCGAGGATATTGAAATATTGTACCACTTAAGACGTGCATTGTTGGACAATGGACAGGCATGTGTATTACCAGTCACTAAGAATATGTTTTGTCCAAGGACGCTAGGCACGATCCAGGGATTGGTTTTCACATTACTTCAGGCTAGACCTAGGGGTTGCGGCATTATCACTTAGATCAAATCCATTGGTGATTTGGCTGGAATTGAACCCGGTACCCGGTATCTTACTAAAGCTTCTTGGAAAATACCAAAAACTTCTTGTGATAGTAATGTACTGTATATTACAAGGAATTGATCGATAATTGATGTTATGAAACCATCTACAAAACCTAAGTTATAACCTGCTAGCTTAAAACAATTACAAATAGTGTTTAATCCTCTACGATGGCTAAAAGCTTGATAAAACTATTCGCCCTTGTTTGGCAAATAAGTCCATAATTAGGCATTGAAGGATTGTACTTCGCAATGTAATTATACATCTTTCAATCCAAATTAAAACGTAAAAATGTTTCTTTAATTGCGTAAACAAATTAATAAGTTTTTTCAATACACTATACAATTGTATAACTAAAAATCTTAATACTAACATAATTATTTAAACAATTGAAAGACTGTAAACTTTTGTTATTCTAAGACATTTTGATTAAATTGCAAATAAAACGATTATGATTAAGTAAAATAACCTTTTCATGATTGTGTTTTAAGTTAACGCTCAGTAAACCTATGAACTGTCATAAAATGGATGCGATATAGATGGAATAATATCCTCAAATTGCATTTTTTTTATTAACAAGTAAATATCTATTATAGTAATAGTCACGAAAATGGGCTCTTACCAATCAAATATTTATGTTCTAAAAACTTTTGAATCGGAGAATATTAAGAAATAAAAATGTTTTACAGATATTGTTTCTAGACTTAGAAATTTTAAATAGTTTAGTATTTCATTCTCATCCGATTATGCTGCCTATTAAACTTTTAGATTTATATTTTTTTCCAAGGCAATTATGTAAGAAACTTTCTGAGTGGATTAAGTGTTACATTCATTTTATTTAGCAAAAACAGAGAATTAAGTTAGATTACACTGTGTGAATTAAACTATTTATCCTAGGGAGCGAGCTGGTCTAGTGCTAAAGCGCGACTTCGGTCCCTAAGGTCCTGGGTTCATGTCCCACCAAATCACCAATGGACTTGAAGTGATAATGTCTCAACCATAGTCTTAAGTAATGTGAAAATCCATACAATAAAACAATCACTATTTATAATTGGAATAGAGCAAAAAATTACATATTAAATGGATCGTTCGTTCACTAACTTTTCAATATCTCATCGTTACTGTAAGTAAACGTTGGAATAGTACAAACACTGTGTGAAGTGACGACTAATTCAAGGTTATAAAATGGAAGGAAGCCAACGTAAGTTAATTAATCATTCAACTTATGCTTGGTAAACGTACACTTTGTGTAAATTTGCGGTGAGCCATCAGGTTTCCTGTGAAAAAAGATTACATTATATTTTCTTAAATGAAGTATTATTTAAAGTTTTATTAATTTATAAAATTAGTTCATTTATTTCTCTACTCAACTTACCGACTAATTAACTCCGACTTAATTTAATTCTTATTACTAAAGCTTTTCCTTAAAACAAATAAACCTTCTATGTATCTAGTATTGTCGCAATATAAATTATTCCATTTTCTCCTCTTGGTTAAGCAATTACATCGATCTATCTACAATAATTAACATGTTCGGAACTACTTACGGACAAATATGTTGGACATGAGGGTGGCGGGGAGACAGAAGACGATGACGAGGATGTCAGCGACAGCGAGGTTGACGATGAAGAAGTTGGTGACGGTCCTCATGCGAGGGGAGCGGTAGACAACGGCTATCACGAAACAGTTCCCGATTAACCCGACCACGAAAACGATCAGGTAGGCGATGCAATAGATGAGGATAACAGGGGTGGAGTGGCGGTACATCAGGTCAGGCAGGACGATGGCGGTGGCGTTCTGGCTGACGTTGGAGCTGGAGTCCCCGTATCCGTCCGGAGGCCCGGTGTCGTTCTGGGGCACCAGGTCTATCAGGGAGTTCCCCAGCATGTCTATCAACACTTTCCGCGTCGTGTTGGTGGGTCTGGGCTCCGGAGTGACGGGGTCCGCAGCTGTGGGAGGCTGCTCCAGTCGTCTTCTCGTCTCTACGTACTCGTCCGCCTCGGGAAGTCTCAAGGCGGCCATCTCTACCATGGATTCATCGCAAAATCACTGTTTCATACAGCTCAAAGTTTATGCGAATTGTCTCACACCGATATATTTACAGCCTGGATAACACTATGGGAGCACTATGGAGTGTGTCCTGCCAGCAGAAGAGGTGAGCGCGCACTGGCTCGGCCCGGCGCGTGCAGTGGAGACCAGCACGCAGGCGCGAGTAACCTAGACCCGCCTCTACAGGGGACCTCGTACCTGTGGCGTGGCGTGCACAATGATCAATCACTCCTCGCACGGGGTAGGTCAGACACTACGGCTACAAGTCTACCAGACAAGCTCATTTCAGTGAAAATTCACCACAGAAAATGTAATTGTAGTACATTACTGAAAAAATGTACCGTCTAAGAGAAAATAATGAACATAAAATATTTGTATCCCATTACATTTTAATTCGTACTTACTCAAGCATCAAGCATGTTTCCCACAATCAAGTAACTTGAGCGCTATATGTCAAAAATACACACCAAATAATATTACTCAATAATCTACATATTTCCGACGGTTTAAATATATAGTGTACATTATAGGAGACCATACACCAGAGTTAGATAATAATTACCACACTTATCACACATGGTTTAACAAGAACATTTGTTTTCTATACGGATCTCTTTATGGAAACTAACTGAATTTCCAACACGAAAGATTTTTGGGCTTACTTGAAATAATATTTCAATAGTGTGAATATATCGTGCTACGATGTTTTCAATCAATAAGAAACTTTAGTATGTATACTTTTACTTAACTATTGTATTCATTATGTCCATCCTTCGGATAAAGTTGGTTAACGCTTGTCTATCGAGTTCATAAACTCTTTTATGAAATTACAAACTATCTCTTAGATTTGTATATGCTATAAACAAACACATTACAAAACTTACAAAAATTCAACACATGTCGATAATTAATAGTAGTACAGTATAGTGATTACTGTGTTGTATACAGAGCAATCAGACGGATACAGAGGTCAGACGGATGACTTGACCTAGACAACTCGCTGTATTCAAGTTGTTATTGAAAGCTAATGCAGGATCAATGTTGTCCTAGAGGGTTGCCACAACAATGTCCACCTCGACACGTCAATATCACGCCCAAAGAGGAATATTTAGTTTGTTTAATCGAATTCTTGCTGTTATTTGTAAGAAGGATATTAGGTTTAAGGAGTAAAAAAGAATATTAGGTATAGCATGTGTGATACCTAGTACGGTGGTTTTCATGATTCAAAGTTTTACACAACGTTTATTAAGGTAAAATGTATTTGACTAAAGGGGGTTTGCGATTAATTCTGTAAACCAATTTGTACTGAGAAGTGCGTTTGAAAATAGAGCCATTTTGATTGCTTGGTTAGTTGTCTAAAACAACATTGAATGTAATATATCAATACAAATTTGGAAATAAAATATTTTCCCCCCTTTCGATGTACGCTCAAGAACGAAAGAATTTTGGTTGATTGTTTGATTTGTTATCTCGAACAAAAATTAATTGAATATTTCGTAAGTAAAAACTACTGTTTTACGGACAGTATGATGAAAATAGTACATTTGAATGTAATCTACCAAGTAGCTTTTATATGATATATCCTACTAATATTATAAATGAGAAAGTTTGGATGTATGGATGTATGGATGTATGTTTGTGACAAGTGAACGCGAAAAATACTGGTCGGATTGGGCTGAAATTTGGCATGATGATAGCTCACATTCCCGATTAACATATAGGCATATTCTTATTTCAAAAATCCTTTCGGGCTCCGCCCCAGTGGCTCTGGAGTTTCCCATGTTAACCTTATGAGAAATGGAATTATTGAATCTTAACAGCTGTTTCAATTAAACAAGTTGGTTCTGTTCTATGATGTTCAATACCATTAAAGTTACAAGGAATACCAACAGGGTGCAGCACTATTATTTCTTTTACATTTATGACAACAGCTAATTTACAACCAAAAGGTGAGTGAGCGTAGCGAACGAACTTCAACCTGGAGGTGAGTTAGCGTAGCGAACGAGCTAACCTGAAGGCAAGTGAGCGCAGCGAACGAGCTCCAACCTAAAGGTGAGTGAGCGTAGCGAACGAGCTCTAACCTAAAGATGAGTGAGGATAGCGAACAAACTTCAACCAGGACGTGATTGAGCCATGCGAACGAGATAATCTTGAAAATTAAGAAGTTAAACTAACCACTCGACCATTTATGGTTGTCATTCTAAAGAATGGCGTCAATAGTTTTGTATGAGCTTGGAAGAGCTCAGCCACATCCCTAAACGTTATTGTAGTTTAGACCAGTACTAATAGCACACTATTAAATAAGGACAGATCACTTTCTCCACAGATCATAGCGTATACGAGCTTCGTAATCGTAAATAATATTTAAGCCTATAATATTCACCTGTACTACAGCCTCGTATAAACTACGAGCCTATCGAAAATATAAAATACCCCGCCGCAGCAAACCTGCAGACTAAGCGAATTTCCATTTGCCTGAATTGATTTTAAATTAAATATAATTGAATAACATTAGGTTTAACGAGTACCTAGGTTTGCTGCTACAGGGAGGCTAATAAAGTGTGTTTTGGTAAACTATTAATTGCTTAGAATAAAATAAAAAAAATTCCAAGTTTTATCAAAATATATCCGTAAACAAGCAAACCAAATACTTAATGATTGAATTTACCTGCTTTCCCACGTAACTCGATTCTCTATTTTCTTTCTCGATTCTCTTCGTCAAATGGTATATTTTTTAGACTCATACAACCTAATGAGCTTGGGTGAAGCAATGTGCTGTCATAATTATCTTAGAGGTCTAAGATACTAGCTCTATCCTCACAATATAATATGGCAATATTATATATCTTACAATTTAATAATAAAAAAAAATATATTTATTTATAAAATCGATGAAAACATTACTTTCTGGTCTAAATAGAGTACAGAAAGAAGCTATTTACTGTGTAATGTGGTAAAAATAAAAATAAAATAATATTTAGAAAATAAATAATAAAAGAACAATTAATTGAAACCGAGAAAAAGTCTTTTTCAAAGTGACTTCTTTAATTAGGAATAGTAATTATTAACATGAATAGTGATTACTAACAATAACAAGCAATTAGTGAAACAAAAATATTTAGTAGTGAAACATTGTAGAATAAACTAAAAAGTAAAATATAAAATATTGGGCTTAGGGTAGTTATGTTAAAACAAAGTTGTAAGGACATAAATCATTAAAATGCTCCTACAATTGAAAACAAAATAAATTAAGTGTATGAAAACGGATCATAAGTACAATCATATTATTATTCCGAATTACTAAAACGATATGACGATATCGGATCAATAGTTCTAAATAGACTTTCCGATATCGTGAGCCGAACAATGTTGCTACAAACGTTATTTGTAAGGCATTTCATAAGTCACGGAAGCTTGCTCATTTGACATGGGATCAGACATCTGTGCTTCCAGTTGCCAAATACACTTTCCCGTAACTATTTCTGAACACCAATACCTTGCTATTTTATTACCATCTAGGTCAGTTTTACTTCGATAGTAATAGTAAATATTTCCATTTTCAAATTCTAGTACGCTACGCTCTAGCCCGGAACCGTTATCATATTACAGACCTAAAGCTGCGTTCTTACTTAGATAAAACCCATTGGTTATTAGCGGGATTTGAACCCAGGATATAATAAGCACCAATCCCCAAAAATATTAAATAAGCATCAATAAAAATCAACAATAAAAACTGGGCATTTATTTGCCTCTAAGAATTATTCAATGACAAACATAAATACTAGCGTCATAGGCTGATTCGAGATCCTATAAACTTTCTTTCAAAGAAGTGAATGTCCCCCCTTAACCATTAATCTATTTTTTCATGCATTCATTTCCTTTCTTATAGATGTAGTATTTTTCAAACTCTTGTCTACAATCGTACTACAAAAGCAAGAATAAAAACCATCTCAATACTCCTTTTTCAAATACAATATTTTTTTCTAACACAACGTCTTTTTCCAATGTTTCACCTCGTGATTTAAAGTTTGAAGTTGTTTTATTTGAACAAAAGTAAGAAACATGTTTATCGACAACTCGTTTCACACTGTTACGTACATAAGTAATACATAAGTCTTATTATCTTTACGAGCAAACTATGTATGTAATTAATTTTGAAATTTTGACGCAAGGTGGTGCATGCATGTATTTTTTATCCATGCCAGTGTCATTTTACTAACGATTCTTTTTAGTTAACAGTCCAAACCCTTGTCTTGTTACTTAAGTCGAAATGTTGTTAGAAAGCGTAATTGATTTGGTAGTCTATTGATAAATGGCATCTGAGCTTGCCAACGTTCTCGTTTGTTTGGATTTGTACCTACAAGTATAAAGGTGAGCAATAAATACTCGGCTACCCAGACAATTTAGTGTTTATGGCGATGAAGAAGTTTTGATTTGATTTGACAAGTCTTCGTCAATTTTTAGAGCTATGCGTCATGCGTTGCCCGTCATCCAAGGTTTATCAACAAGTGGACCATATTGATCATTACCACTACACTAATGAGATGCGACTTCATGGGTGGTTGGGCCCTCGATGAATCGCCGCACAAATCGATATCATTATCGTAAATTTGGTTTCAATCAGTAAAATGTCATTTGCTTCTGCTAATATGTTAATGGAAAACCCGAATCAGTTTCCATTTGTTTTAATGGACACTTTAAAATACCCCCACCGCAGCACACCTGCAGACTAAGCGAATTTACAGTTACCACGCTAGGTTTCTACTAAAATATCCCCATGGAATTATCAGATTTATTTCCTATTCAAATAACATTAATGTTAATGAGTACTTAGGTTTGATGCTACAGGAAAGGTATTTAGGTGTTTTTTCTTGAAATGTTGATAGATTAGAAAGAAATAAACAAAATTGACAAATTTGATTTTTTTAATTCTCCATGGGAATGTTTATTAACATGCGAATTTTCAATTTACAATATTTTTACTATATCCGTATCCGTTAGGCATACAAGAACCCTTCAATATACAACATTATTTATTTTTTAAGCTCTACAAAATTATTTGGGAAGAAATTGGGAAATTTTGTGTTTTTAGTGTCAA